GCAACAAATTTATCCCTAATGGTACAGATTTTCTTCCAATACCAATAGCTGTCGTTTGGAGGTTCATATTGCCACCACAACTGATCCTTTATATATACATGATTGACCCATTTCACCCAAAGTTTGTCTTCCTTATTTGCTATATTCCATACATATTTCATCATTGCTGCTTCATTCCAAACTAAACAATCCTTTATCCCCAATCCTCTTTGTTGTTTTGGCCTACATACAATGTCCCATGCTACTAATGCCATTTTGGTTGAATTCCCTTTTCCATCCTATAGAAAGCTTCTGCAGATGCCTATTATGTTTCTTAAAACCTTTTTTGGGAGGATGAAGATGAAAGCCCAATATGAGTGCACTTGTATCAATACTGAATTCTCTAGCATCACCCTTCCAGTATAGGATATATTTCTTGTGCCCTATGTTCTAACTTTGGTAGCCATCTTCTCCACCAACATTTCACAATTTGTTGTTGATAGCTTCCTAGCAGATATTGGTACCCCCAAGTACCTGAATGGTAATGCCCCTCTTTGATAACCTGTAAGCTCACATATGTCCTGAATGCATTGTTCCTCCATGTTTGTACTGTAGATGTTTGATTTTGCTGCATTAGTGTGTAATCCTGATGCTCTTGAGAATGTTTCCAGCCCCCTTAGGATCATTTCCACAGATTGTCACTCCTCTTTACCAAAGAATAACACATCATCCGCAATACATAGATGGTTTAATTTGAGCCTCTACATTTGGTATGAAACTGGAACCCTTTTTGATCAGTGATGCATTTCATAATTCTTGATAGGTATTCCATGCAAATTACAAATATGAGGGGTGATATTGGGTCCCCTTGCCTTAGCCCTCGTTTGCCCTCAATGTTGCCATAGACTTCACCATTCACTGCTATTGTATAGTGAGTAGATGTGATAAAAGTCATCACCCACTTTCTGAATTATTTAGGGAAGTTAAGAGCATGCAACATCTCTTCCACAAATACCCATTCCATAGTATCATATGCCTTCCTTAGGTCTACTTTAATTAGACAACTTCTAGTTGTATTCTTCCTCTTGTACAGCCTCACAGATCTTGGTATATCAATATATTGCGCACTATATTTCTTCCTTTCACAAAAGCACTTTGATTAGGAGAGATTATCCCAGGTAGTACTTTTTTAAGCCTATTGCATAGTATCTTCGAGATCACTTTGTATAATTGCAGCAAGCAATTGGTCTATAGTCACCTACTGCCGTAGCATGAGTGCTCTTGGGGATAAGAGTTATCACAGTGTTGTTGACAATTTTGAGCATTCTGCCTTCTCTAAAGAACTCCAGAACTCCACTTTGTACATCTATACCGACAATATCCCAATAGTCTTTGTAAAACTGGCTTCCAAACCCATTCGGACTTGGAGCTTTATCTCCTGCAATTGCCCATAGAGCCTCCTTCACCTCTGTTTCTGTGAAGTCTGCTGCCAATTCATTCCTCTGCTCCTCTTTCACTGTTGGCCCATATCTTATAATCTGGCTATTTACGTGATCACTTCTCTTTATTTCCCTTCCCATCATTTCTGTGTAAAATTCTATAAATGCATTTGGAATCTTGACTGGATCATCAATGTCACGCCCTTTCATGTCCTTGATGTGGAAAATTGTGTTACTGTTCCTTCGAGCTTTCAATAGACCATGAAAGTATTTAGTGTTTAGGTCCCCCTATCTGAGCCATTGTGCCTTAGCCTTTTGTTGCAAGAACATGTTCCTTGCCTTTTCCCATTTGCTGCATTCCTCATTTAATCTTACTTCCTCATTGATTAATGCTTTATTTCTAGGGTCCTTATGTACTTTGATTTGACATTGTTGAAGGGTATTTAGTGCTTCCTCTGCTCTTTTTTCAATGTTGCTGAATCTCTCCTTGTTGATTTCCTGTAAGGTGCTCTTGATTCTGTGTAGTTTCCCCACCAACTGGTACATTTGCGTGCCCCTCTTGTTTGTTTTCTAGTTGTCTTTTATTCTTTCTTTGAAATCCCATGTCATGCTCTACATATTGATGTATTTGAAGCTTCTTTTTTCCTACTGCCCACCTCCCTCCCAACTAATTATGCCCGGGGAATGATCAAATAGCCCTGGTTGCATGTAATGGACCTCTGATGCTGGCAACTTTGTCATCCATTCAAAGTTGACAAGGACTCTGTCTATTCTGCTTAGTACTCTGCTTCCTCCTGGTTGTTTGTTGCTCCAAGTATAGAAGGCTCCTGAAGATCTCATGTCTTGCATTGAGCACTCCTCCATACATTTTTTAAACTCCCTGATTTCTGCCATAGTAACCAAGCTCCCCATTCTTTCTTCAGTACTCAAGATGCAATTAAAGTCCTCCGTTATTGCCCAAGACCCTTTAATTTGTTGGTGTATACTCTTGTTATCTTTCCATAGTTGCGTTCTCATGCTTTGATTGTTAAACCCATAGACTATTGTAATATTGAATTGTTTTCCTGTCCCTCTATGTTGGACCATATAGTGTATAAGTTGCTCAGTTACACTTGTCATATTGACATCATTTACTCCAGGTTTCCATACAACCCATATCCTCCCTGCCGGATGCTTTACTAAGTTCGTAGTAAATGACCACCCAATGCATAGATTAAGAGCAGCTTGTTGTGCCTTAGCTCTCTTAATCTTTGTTTTCAGAAGACCAAATAAGTCAACTCTTTGGTTGTTCATAAACAGGTTCATTTCCTTCTGTTTATATGACTTACTCAATCCGCTGGCATTTCAGAAGCCTATTCTATCCATTGGATGAGGGGTTGTCCCCATCCTGCCCTTTTCCTAGAGCCATCTCACTCCCTTTCCCTTTGTTTTTCCTGTTCTCCACCACATTCCCGTCTGCAACTTCTGTTTTCTGTTGTTGATGGTCCTCTAGTGTTGCAAAAGAGTTCCCAGTTCTGATAACATCCTGTTGTATTCCATCCCCAGCTCTTCCCCTTCCTGTATTCTTCCATGTTCTAGATGTGTAGACGAACTTTGAAACCAGCTATACTTTCAATCATAAGTTGTTTGCAATTGTTCATAGGGAAACAAAGAAACAAAGATAGTCTTTGAAACCCGGATTTTTGCCCGTTTTCCAGTCAGTTGTACCATATGTTTTCAAGTAATTAATTCTTCAAATGTTAATTGAAATGTAACACATATATATTCTAGTAATCACTTATACGTAGGTAATTGTCAGTTTGAGAAGTTTACTACGTTTTTGTGAATGGCATGTTGGGTTTTTTGGCTCAAAATAGTATGAATAGGAAATAGAGGGGAAAATGAGATTTTGAATTTTCCTCATTTACAAAAGAACATTGTCGTATATTGGCAGAGGAGAAGATATTTGGAGGGCTTATATACAATTGCACTTCTTCTCACTCTTAAAGAGTTGAGAAGACGGCAATAAGTCTCGCGTCATCGTCATCGCTTGCTCGAATTTGGCTTCGACTTTGGTCAACTAATATGATTCACAGATTTATTTGTTAATATTAATGTTTTATTAACATTTAATGGCCGTTTTCGTAGCGGTAATTTAATTTTTTTCTCCGATTTTATTTTGCTAACGTTTTCATAATAGCCGTTTACGCGAAAGGCCACCTGAAAGAGTTGCACCTATTCGTTTGAAGTCATCTTATTGGCTATAAATACCTGGCCATTCCCTCATATTTTCTTGACGAAAATTCTGAATTTTCTTCTCCGTATCTGCTTTTACTTAGTTTTTGTTTTCAGAATATATTTTCAAATATATAATTTGAACTTATTATTCCTTGCAATTAGCACCGAACATACATTTACTCGTTATAAAGTTAGTACAAGACACAACTTTTTTTTTCTGTCAAGACATAATGGAAAATCAGAGGTCAAAGCACAAGGCTGGTCTCTTGTTAGACGAAACTTGACAAGTCCGTCAAGTGCCTGCACACCAAATAACAAATAACACACGTAAGTTATACTACAAAATAAAGCTATAGTTAATTGAGATTATTGGTCATACAATATATACATGATTGGACAAAAAATTAAAGATAATCACACCTAATGGCACAAGGATAGAACAAGCGAAAGTCTTTTGAAATGAGACCAAATATAAAACAACAACAAACGTAGCATAATCCCACAAAACGGGGTCTAAGGAAGATAGTGTGCACGTAGGCTTTACCGTCAAGGGTGGATCCAACTCTCCATCATGGATTCACGTGAACTCAGTAGATTTTATTCAAACAGTGTAAATGCGTTCGAAAAATTTACTATGTATAAATATTTGAACGTGAACCTAGTACAGGAACCCATAAATATTAAATTCTGGATCCGCCGCTACTTACCCCTATTTTATAAAGGTAGAGAGGCTATTTCCTGCAGACTCTCGGCTCAAAAAAAATGAAAAGGAAGCAATAACAACAAGTTGTAACAACAAGATAAGATAATAAAAACACCGAAGCTAATAAATAACCTATATAGTAATAGAATTCTGCGGATAAGAAAATATATAATGTAACTTACTCAACGTTGTTGAATAACACCACATTTGAAGAGATCATCTACGAAATTCCTTCCAAGCAAAGAGTTCCATGCAAGATCCAAAGCATTGAGTGCTTTACAACAACTTTGATTTTCAACATCAGCACTATTGCAGTGAGTTAGAGCTGCATGAAATTTGCCAATATTGCTCTCTTCATTCAAGGTGCCAATGCCGTATCCTGCCTGTGCAAAAGCTCCGTCCAAAAGACTACAAGCTACAATAACACAAACCAACAAAATGGCTAAGCTCAAAACCCTAATATTTCTGCTACTACGTGCCATCTCTTCTTAACTAAACTTTTTCTCTAGGGTTTAAGTCTTAAGTTCACATATGAGTAGTATATATAAATAAATTTTGAGTTATTACAAGAAAGGAGAGAGTTGAATACGAAATGAGGAAGCAATTAACGCATGCATAGATCTCGAGAGGGTTGGCAGTTTAATCTTTTGTGTATTGGTTAAAGAATATATGATGCAGTTTAATAATTTGAGTTTTAAAATGGAAAATATGAGTGGGTTTTCGTGTAGATTCATCCTAATTAATTCAGGATATAAATTATTTATGTGTATACGCATAACAGTAAAGTTATCTTCGTGTAACCTATAAATCAGGGGCGGATTTAGGGGGGCGCAAGGGATTCCGAACCCCCTTCGTCGAAAAATTACACTGTATATATAAGGCAAAATTTGTTTTTACCTCTATATATTAAGTTTTGAACTCCCTTAACACAATCCAAAAGTGTAGTTTAGTGGTTAAGGGGGTTCAAAATCTACATAAGGTCATGGGTTCAATTCCCACTAGCTACAAAAAAAAAAATTGAACCCCTTCGCGGAGATTCTTCCTCCGCCACCCTATAAATAGGAGTGGCAAACGGGCGGATCAGGTCGGATATGGTTCGGGTTGAAAACGGGTAATGAAAAAACGGAGCAATTATCCGACCCGACCCATATTTAATACAAATAAAAAACGGTTAATATGGTTAACCATATTATCCATGACTTTTTGCATATGATCACTTTTGGGAGAATTCTTAGTCTCCTAACTTGAGTAACCCTCAATTTGAGGCTTTACAAATGTAAAAGTTAGACTCATTGGTTATCTATTGGTTTGGTTATCCATTTTCTAAATGAATAATATGGTTCTTATCCATATTTGACCCGTTTTTAAAAAGTTCATTATCCAACCCATTTTTTAGTGGATAATATGGGTGGTTAACTGTTTTCTTTTAACCATTTTACCACCCCTACTTATAAATAACGATTCAAGTTGTGAAAATAACCGCTAGTGATTACATTAGAGTGAGTTGTCTATATTATACCTTTTGATTTGTGATCCTTCATCGAATCCTACGTGAAAGCGGGATGCTTGTGCACCCCTTTTTTATTTACTCTTTTTACCAAATTATCTATTACTGTATTTATTACAGGGATTTACCTATTTCTACATTATAAATGATAAGTTTGTGTAAATATCTTTTTTACATTGACAGTTGAGAGTATTTTTCACTTTACCGATGTAGTTTAACCTTTGATAGAAAATTATATGTAGTTACCATTTTTACCATGTTACCATAATATTTATTATAAAAATTTACATCTGTTCAAATCTTCGACAACCATGAATTTCACGCACTGGACAGTAAGGGACTCGATTTTTGAAAGTGATAATTTTCTAATATGAAGGTTTATACCTCTGCTAACGGTGAGGGAGAAATGAATTTTCGGCACTTTCCTATAGGGTGCCAATTTTCTTTACTAAAAATGCCAAATTAAGCTAAACATTTTATTAATAGTAAGTCGAGTTATTTTTCACCAATTACTGATCATCCAACTGGCTATGCCATACCAGATTTCCTTTCTTAAGATTAATAAGAACCATTGTCTTCAATTTAGACTTCTTTGGTTTTATATTCTCTCCAACCAGAAACCAGAATCTTTGGTCAAAAGTTAAAATGTCATCCATGAGAGAACGAGCGGCAACACTTGTTAGACTTGAAGTGTTGTCCCTGGAATAAGTGCGGTAACAATCAGTAGTGGCACCGAAATATCCTATTTGTTCAAATCACTCATGATATTTAGCCCACTTTACAACTTCAGGCCTTTTTCTCATCTTTCTCCTCCTCCTTCTTCTTCTTCCTTGTTCTTCTTCTTCTTCTCGGGTGACGATGATTTTATATGATATTTGTGAACATATTTTAAGGAAGTTTATGATGTCTTACAATGATGAGCTGATGTGGTGCTTTAGTTTTTTACTATTGCTTAGGTTTCCTCTTTTTCTTTTTCTTAATTGCAAAATGAGTTCGTTAGATTTATTGTTGCTTTGACAAATTGATGATTGGAATTTGTTCTTGATGATATTTGCAGGTTATGTTTCAAATTTGAGCTCATTTGGAATAGATTTAGGTGTTAAATCGTATATTGTTAAAATTCAAAGAACAAATTTCTATTTCTGGAGGATTTTCACTTCAGGCCTATCTGGCCTTAAGTGCGTGAAAACATTGGTTGCACTTCAGATTTATTTGGCCTTAAGTACATCCGAAGTGTATTTTTTTTTCACTCAGACTTATTAGCCTTAAGTACATGAAACCATTGGTTGCACTTTAGACCTATTTAGCCTTAAGTGCATTTGAATTTCAGTTTTTTCACTTAAGACTTTTTGGCCTTAAGTGTATGAAACCATTGGCTGCACTTCAGACCTATTTGGCCTTAAGTGCATCTGAAGTACTATTTTTTCACTTCAGACTTTTTGGCCTTAAGTGCATGAAGTCATTGGTCACACTCCAGACCTATTTAGATTAAGTGCATCTAAAGCGTAATTTTTTTGCATCAGACCTCTCTGACCTTATGTGCATGAAAATATTTATTGCACTTCAGAACTATTTGCTCTTAAGTGCATTTTAAGTGTAATTTTTGCACTTTAGACTTAATTGGCTTTAAGTGCATTGCACTTTAGACTAATTCTTTTAAAAAAACTTTGGACCCGATAAGTCTGAAGTTGATCGTAAAATGGTAGATGTGCAATTTTTTTTTTTGCAAAATGGATATAGTTTTAATGGTGACCCCAAAACCAGGTATAGATGCAAAAGCCCCCTTAATTGTTATCACACTAAAAGAAAAGCCCACTAAGCATCATGGCCCAATTTTGAGTTGACGGTGCTACTTTTTTCTTTTATATAAAATTTATAGTAATATTTATATTGCATTCTTATGTTTCGTTTACACATAGGTTATTAGCCTAAGAACAACAACAACAACCCAGTATAATCTCATTTAGTGGGGTCTGGAGAGGGTAGTGTGTACGCAGACCTTACCTTTACCCTGAGATAGAGAGGCTATTTCCAATAGACCCTCAACATCCTTTCCTCCAAGAACTTCCCATCTTGCTCTTGGGGAGACTCGAACTCACAACCTCTTGGTTGGAAGTGGAGGTTGCTTACCATCAAAGTTGCTTAGCCTAAGAAATCATGCACATATAAATCAATCACAAGTGGCTTGTATGTGTTGTCAAGACTGACAATGACATGGTGTAGTCATAACTTGCGCCAGCTGAGAAACAAGTAGGAATATTCATATTCCATTAGCATATGCAGTTGCTATTCAAACTCCATAATAAGCATTCGCAGTTCCTATTCTAAACAACACAACTTTTTACTGAATAATTTACATACCAATTAATTTTTAAAGCGCAACGATATTTTTTCTAATTTATTTTAATAAGGAGCCAAAATTTACAAGCTGAGTATATGCATAACGGAAGTTAGTACACCAAACTGCCTTTTTATCGTGATTCCATGGAAGCCCAACGAATTACTTCTACGGCATGCTGTAATGTCCCAAAAAGGACATAATTTCAGACATCGCAGCTTGCCGTAAATACTCAAGATCATGAGGGTGACACATAATTAATTTCCAAATTAGCCCATGAATAGTGATGGGTCATGTGAAACTTAGTTCAAGGGGGAGATTATTGGGTGTGTGTGAACAAAGTCCCACATGAAAAGTAGAAAAGAAAAATAAGCTACTTATAAGGAGTTGGATACCCTTAATAGTGTGAGGCCCAAAGCGGGCAAATAAGGAATTTTTACATTCCTATGCCATATAGGAAACTATATTACCCTCAATGTTTAAGGTTTGATATAATTACATTTAGTATACCTAATTACCAATTATATACCATTAGTGGTTTTTAAGGGTATTAATTACACTCCTAATTTAATAGTACCATATATTCCTTCTAATACCACTCCCCCCACGTTTCTCTCTCCAATTCCCACACTTTCACCCACGTTTCCCTCCCACACCCACGATTTCTGTATCAAAATCACATTATTTCTTCCATAGCCAAGGCTTTGAATTCGAATTTGGGTTTTCAAAAGACATTGTTTGTTTGGATTGGATGTTATTGCAAAGAATTAAGAATTCTCACTACGTCTCTCTCTATCTCGCAATCCGAAATTTTAGTAATATAAGAGGAAAGGAAAAGAGAGCAGCAATTCCACCATTGACAGCCATTAAAAGGCTTTGAAGCTTTGAATTCTAATTTGGGTTTTCAAAAATCATTATTTGTTTGGATTGGGTGTTGTTGTAAATAATTAGGAATATGGTTTGGAGTTTATATCTCAATTTTGAGGGGTTTTGGTGAAGATTAGACTTGGTTTTAGCTGAATTTCAGATTGAAACTCGAAGAAGAAGAAGAAAGACATGACATACATTATATTGCAGAAATTGTAGATAAATTGTAGACTGTTGTTTATTTATTTTTGAGCTTTGTGTTTTTGTGTTAAAAGTTTTGATGAGAGCTTGTTATTCTACTTCGTCTGTTTTAGAGCTAACTTGTGCAGAGAAATGTTTTTTAAGTTATATATATTGCTATACCTTTAAATTCAAGAAAGTATAGTTGTATTGTAGTTAAAGAGACGTGAATTTGTAGAATAGGTTGAATGTGAGGAATGAGTCAAATAAGACTTACAATGGCTTGTTTTCTACATTTAATCTACAACAAAACTACATATAATTTGAAAAATTAATATGAAAATACAGAATTTCAATGTTTCAACAAATTATCTACAAAATTTCTTAGGAAGATCTATCCCTTCAGCATATTTTTTTGGATTCCATATTTAGCATAGCAGTTTCGTAAGGAGTAATAAGAGCATATAGGAGAATCATAGAATTGTAGCATAATCGGGATTTTCGACATAATTGCGTTTTTTGCAGAAGATTTGTAGAAGTTTTAGTCGTTTTTGATTTGTGAAAACAGAAAACAAAGCATCTACAATCAGAATACAAATAATCTACAATTTATCGACAAAATATCTACAAACTAGGTACATTGAATTTTAATATCCCAATTCCCATTCAACAAAATTGGGATTTTCAACATAATTGCGTTTTTTGCAGAAGATTTGTAGAAGTTTTAGTCGTTTTTGATTTGTGAAAACAGAAAACAAAGCATCTACAATCAGAATACAAATAATCTACAATTTATCTACAAAATATCTACAAATTGGATACATTGAATTTTAATATCCCAATTCTCATTCAATTGTAGCATAATTAGGATTTTTGACATAATTGCATTTTTCCAAAAGATTTGTAGAGGTTTTAGTCGTTTTTTATTGTGAAAACAGAAAATAAAGCATCTACAATCAGAATACAAATAATCTACAATTTATCTACAAAATATCTACAAACTAAGTACATTGAATTTTAATATCCCAATTCTCATTCAATTGTAGCATAATTAGGATTTTTGACATAATTGCATTTCTCCCAAAGATTTGTAGAGGTTTTAGTCGTTTTTTATTGTGAAAACAGAAAATAAAGCATCTACAATCAGAATACAAATAATCTACAATTTATCTACAAAATATCTACAAACTGGTACATATTTGGACTCGACATGCTTCCCCTGAAATGTATGTTTCACAATACATATTTTTGTCCAAAACAGTACTAAATCATCCACTTAAATACAATTTTTATACAATGTTGTTCAACTTTCATACAATAGGTAAATGAATAAAAGAAAAATAAATAAACAACAGTCTACAATTTTTCTACAATTTCTGCAATATACGTCTTCTTCTTCTTCTTCTTCAAGTTTCAATCTGAAATTCAGTCAAAACCAAGTCTAATCTTCACCAAAACCCCTCAAAGTTGAGATATAAACTCCAAACCATATTCCCAATTATTTTCAACAACACCCAATCCAAACAAATAATTATTTTTGAAAACCCAAATTTGAATTCAAAGCTTTTAAGATTTTTAATGGCTGTCAATGGTGGAATTGCTGCTCTCTTTTCCTTTGCTTTGTATTACTGAAATTTGGGATTGAGAGATAAAGAGAGATGTAGAGAGAATTCTGGAAACAGAGTGTATCGCAAAAACAGAGTATGGAAAATCTTGATCTGCGTTGTGAAAGATCAGAGTGAAGCCGACGATAATTATGAATGTGCGTGATCTGCGTTGTGGAAGATCTTGAAGAATATTTAATTCCCCAATTTTAGCGCGCCTAAATAAGGAATCCTAAAGCTACAATGATTCCTTATTTAATGCATTGTCTATATTTTGTAGGAATACTATTAGTATGAAGGGTAATATGCAAACTATGAACATATTTCAGTAAAGTTCCTTTTTTGGCATATCTTGGATTTGAGACAAAATGATTAGAATGTCTAGCATAAAAAATGGAATTTGAGTTCTATGGTTTTGAGATCATTATACTGAACTGCATTTATTTGGTCCATTTCTTGATTTCTGCATATCAGTCTTGAATAAGAGCCATCCTAATCCTCTCTGTATCGTTCCACTTTTATCGATTACCCAAAGAAACAAGTTCGCAGACGAACTCTGAAACCAGTTACACTTTCAATCATAAGTTGTTTGCAATTGTTGACAGGGAAACAAAGATAGTTTGAAACCCGGGTTTTCGCCTGTTTTTCCAGTCAGTTGTACCATAGTTTTCAAGTAATTCTTCAACTGGTACTTGAAATGCCTATAATGGATAAAATGCAACAATCACACTTTACTGATTTCAAGAAATAAATTACTTACAGGGTCATCTTTGAGTACAAGAATGAATCAATAGTCAGCTAGCTAACTTTGGCCTGTACAATGGAGGATCTTCCCCGAGCAAAAGCGACTTTAATATAGCTTCACAAACTACAGTATCATACACAAGCAAATGACCACCATCTGGAACTTCATGATATCGAATCCAAGGGAGACTTTGCGCGACGTATCTTTGTAATTGAACAGGCACAACTTTGTCCTCATAACCTTGCCAGATGTGAACAGAGCTTTCGTTTTGTGCGTACGGGTTACTTAGCTCCAGTGGATCGAAATCCCACTTGCTAAAAGCTACAATAAAGTCACGACGAAGGGAGTCGAATACCCTTCGTTTCTTTAGCCCGTCCTGTCAATAGAAGTAAAATCTGTCATAAACCAGAAAGCAGAATAGTTCCTATGCTACTGCATGATTATGACATCAAATCACCTTGAATATTTTGTCATTTCCTGTCAACAAGGAACGATTGGATTACAAAGATCAAACTATTCGGGGGAGCTGGAATCAGGAGCGGATGTAGAGTTCTGCCATCTGGTTCATCTGAACCCAGTGTTTCCGACGTTGAGCATAAATTTATGTATAACAATGCACGAAAATTGCAACAACTGGTAGGTCTGATCCCAGAATTTTAATGGATTCAATGTTAAGAATATTAAAAGTTGAACCCATATAGTTAAAATCATAGATCAGCATCTGACTGGTGTGGGTAAAACACTACTAAAGCTCACGGGAGTGGCCAAATAAGGCTTAGCTGATCGTATCACAATCGAGTCAACTTCAATAAGTATAACTTGATCCGATTTGAGTTAATAAAGTTGGTCAACTGTGTATATTCTTTCATTTTCTCTTTTTTGGGAATAGCTTAAGAAGTTTACCTGAGTGAATAGTTGATATCCTGGTGTATTCTTCAAAACGTCGAGATCTTTGTCACAAAAAAATGTAGGATTTCCTTCAAGAGCAGTAGCTGAAGGGAATAGTTTTTGAGTCAACCACCAATGTAATAGCCCTGGCGTATAACGCGTGAGCCAAATCGCTAATCGGCTGAGTTGTTTCCTGTAGTCATCTTTCGTTAGATCATCAGGTAGCGAACGCCATTTGTAATTGACAAATGGGACAACTAGAGCAACTCCAGCAAGCCTACAGAGCATACATTTTCAAACTTAAACAATTAGGCCTACACCATTTACAGAAAAGCCGGAGAGCTAAAAAAATTTCTGAAGTGAGTATTCTTTTACTTTTGAGGAATGCGTTTGATGCAGCTCCAAGCGGGGTAACATCCCAACGACACGCCAATAACGTAATACTTAGATCCTAATTGCAACTGATCAGCTAACTCTTCAATATCAGATGCTTCGCTTTTAACTGAGCGCTTTGGATTTGGATCACTCTCTCCATATCCGGCTCTATCGTATATCAGAAGGTATATCTCCATTACATCCAGGAGTTCCTGAGAACTAAATAACTATTAGAGCATTGTCAACTGAATTATGCAAATTCAGAAAGAATATTGTGCAAATTCAAGAATGACATTCCTTTAGCAGAAAAGACAGAAAACTGATCATTTTCTGGTTTCTGGCTAGAAATTCTTACCAAAAGAAGGAACCTAAAGATGATAAACAACACAAAAGAAAGGTATCAATCAACTACACTTTGGTCTCAAACTAATTGAGGTCGACAAGGAAGGTAACTCGAGGACTTCTTAGCAGCATTGGCGGAGCTACAGTCACCGAAATTATAATGTGTATATAGGCTAAATAATATCATTTATACATAAAAATTAAATCTGGAATCACCTTTAGCGAAATTCCAGGCATTTCCTAGAAGCTTATCCGTCCTATTAATACTCTCAATCAAGCTACTGATGCTTGCATCAGGGTAGGCTGCCTACATCACACATCTTTGGGGTGCGGCCTTGCTCCGGACCCTGCATGAACGCGGAATGCTTTGTGCATCGGGCTATCCCTAATCAAGCATGCTTCCGGAGTTCTAACAGAATCCGTTGCATTGCCAGTAGTATGATTGCACATATCATATAGTTTCTTTTCTCTTAAAGTCAAAACCAATTATCAGTGCAAACAACTCTACTAACAGGCTAGCGTAAAAGTTTATAGTTTTACTTTGACAAACTTAAAACACATCTGGATCTATTTATTTCAACCCTTTATCTTCATACTTAAGATAAAAGAGAGCTTTGCGTAACTAGTAAAGTTGCTGCCATGTAACCAGGAGGTTACGGGTTCGAACCGTAGAAACAGCCTCTTGCAGAAGCAGGGTAAGGTTACGTAAAATGAACCCTTGTGGTCCGGCCCTTTCCCGGACCGCACACAGAGCGGGAGCTTAGTGCATCGGGCTGTCCTTTATCTTCAAACTTAAGATATTCAACACCCAATTCTCAACTCTAGAGCAGATTGACACTTAACTAGCCTCTTCCACAAAAACAGTAATTTCAAGATTCGGATAGACTGACAGACAAATAGACAGACATACACACATATATATAGAGAGAGATGTGTGTGTACCTCAGAAGCCATAAAGCTCATTTCTTTGGAGCTTCCAAATCCATGAACAATGATAATTCTGTATTTGCACTTGTTTTTAGGCACTCCTCTTTCCCTATAAGCCAAAAATCTCCCATCACTAAGTCTGACTCTACAAGTAGTAGTAGTACTAATAGCAGATTCATCTACTACTGTCTTTGATTCCTGCAAATTATCATTTGGTTCTGTTGGCTGATCAGCACATCCTAAACACCCCATCATCAGCACAAGAATTCTTCTAAACACCATTTTCTGAAGAAAAAAAAAAGGACACAATATCAAGAATCTGGTAAGTCAAAATGCCACTTCAAATTGAGTTCAGCAGATAAAAAAAAGGGCAGCCCGGTGCACTAAAGCTCTCACTATGTGCGGGGTCCGGGAAAGAGCGAGTGAGTTCAGCACATAAATTCAATTAAATGCTATGTTACTCGGACTCCCCAGAAATGCTATCGCCCCCATGTCGGATCCTCCAAAAACATCCTATTTTGGAGGATCCGACATGTACCCGGTAACATTTTTGAAGAGTCCGACTATAGATTAAGGCTGCGTATATCCCATCCTCTCCAGACCCAAGTTGCGGTAATACACTGGATTTTGTTGTTGCTGGTGTAGATAAATTCAATTAAATGCTCCGCACTCGTATCGGATCCTCAACTAAAAAAATACTATCTTTGGAGGATCTGACATGTACCCGGCAGTATTTTTAAGAGTCCGGAGCAACAAATAGATTAAATGGAGTTGTTCGGACTCTTCAAAAATGTTATTGCACCCGTGTCAGATCCTCAAAAACTCCCCAGAAATGCAACCGTCCCATGTCGGATCCTCAAAAAAATCCTATTTTTGAAGGTTTCGACACCTACTCAATGACATTTTTGAAGAATTCGAGCAACATAAATAAAATGGGGGTTGATTTGAACTTACCAAAGAACAAAACTTAGCCACAGCAGAATCAAGACTTGGTGCTAGCTTTGGCTGCTCATTAAATTCTTGAAAATCCAAATTTATGTGTTTTCCTTTTTCTGTTTGAATGGAAGTTGAGTTCTGTTTGCTAGACAATGGAGAGTGGACCACCTTAGACCATGTGCAAATGGGGATGTGTACAGGTAATTTACATCTGAATATTTTACTAAGGTTTTGTCTTTGTAAGTTTGGACATTTCTTGTCTAGCCCCTCTTTCAAAATATAGAGGAGTGCTGATCTCATTTTTTATTTTGGAGGGACAAGCCCTTGTTTGTATTATTAGTACTTGAAAATAAGTTGTTTCAAGTTTTTAACAAAAAAAGATATCCTAAAGTATATTCCAAGAACTTAAATGGGTGAAAAATATATTCCAAGAATTATATTTTATTTTTAAAAAATTTATTCTGTTATTCTGAATTCCTTCATTTCATTTAGTCAAAGTTATTTACTATATACTTGCTTAATATTTATTTATATTTTGACTGCATTATTAATATCTCCCGTCAATTGCCTTTTAAAATTTTAACTTAAATTAATATTATAATCGTTTGAATTAAAAAAAAGCACTAAATAAAGAATTTTTTTTAAAAAAAGAGAGAGAATCCAAATCAAAGGAATATAGACATTTTTTTAGGACAGGAGGGAGTCAAATTGTCTACTGCCTAAAATTGGAGGGGAATTATGATTTTTAAAATAAAGTTGCAGGGCTATATATATATATATATTGTATTTTTTCTTTAACAGAACAATTATTGTATTAGGTACTGTATTTATGGTTAGAGAAAAATAATGAATGCAGTAATACTTGCACCTAGTGATTTAAAATTTGAAACTGCCTTTATTCCACGTAGTAATAAAGATATTAATTTTATCTTTCAAAAATAATAAAGAAAGAAGTATGGTAACTATTTGCGTTTATTAACAACAACAACAACAACAACAACAACCCAATTTAATCCCACTTAGTGGGGTCTGGGGAGGGTAGTGTGTACGCAGACCTTACCCCTACCCTAGGGTAGAGAGACTGTTTCCAAATAGACCTCCGGCATCCTTCCCTCCAAGAACTTCCCACCTTGCTCTTGGGGAGACTCGAACTCACAACCTCACGGTTAGAAGTGGGGGTTGCTTACCATCATAGCAACCCCTCTTGTCTCACTATTTGCATTTATCAACTTGGAGAAATGAAACACTTCAGCTTGAAAAAGAATATAGTGATATGTTAACTTCGAAAGAATAAAGTGTCACGACCCAGATTTTCCATCCTCGGGATTGTGATGGCGCCAAGCCTTTCAGAATACTAGGCAAGCCAACAAATAAAGATTTAAATACGCTAATACTAACCAATTCAATAAATAGCAGCAAATTAAACCAAAGTAGATCAAAGGATTACAGAATCTCATAATAATCTAAGTACTAATACACGACTACCTAAAATTTAGTGTCGCAATCCACGAACTTCTAAGAGTCACTACAGATACTGACTGAAAGAAAATACAACTATTCTCAAAGTAAAAGAAAACAGAAAACTAGGATAACTGGAAGGGGACTCTAGGGTCTGCAAACGCCGGCAGATCTACCTTGGGTCTCCTGTTGGACTGAAGGCAGCAACTCCACTCGGGTCAACACGGTCAAATACCAAAATCTGCACAGAAAGTGCAGAGTGTAGCACAACCGACCCCGTGTACTGGTAAGTGCCGAGCTTATCCTCGGCGAAGTAGTGACGAGGCTAGGACAAGACACGTACATAAACCTGTGCAGTTAAGCAATATACGGGCATACTAACAAGTAAGAGAAGCTAAACACATAATAACGGGAGAGGAAAACATGCGAGGGAAGTACGAGATCATGAGAATATAACAGTAAAGAAAACACAACAAAACAAGTGCACGGCATCACCCTTCATACTTTTACTCTCATCATCACCATAACAAATGAAAAGAGCGATGATAATGAATATGAAATGGCACGGCATCACCCTTCGTGCTTTACGTTCTTCCTCATATGATAATGAATATGACATGGCACGGCATCACCCTTTATACTTTACACTCTTCCTCATATGATAATGCATATGAAATGGCGCGGCATCACTCTTCGTGCTTTACACTCTTCCTCATATGATAATGCATATGAAATGGCGCGGCATCACTCTTCGTGCTTTACACTCTTCCTCACATGATAATGAATATGCAATGGCACGACATCATCCTTCGTGCTTTACACTCTTCCTCACACAAATAACAAAAAAATAATAATAACAACCGGACAATAGAATTAGCTGGATCTTCTACTATTCTATGTTCTTCCCGAAAGTGTGCTAATCCTTATATTGTGCGGAGCTGAGTATCTTCTATTCGCTGGGATAAAGCCTTTCCTCTGCAGGGGCCTTGTGCAGTAAACCCCCTACGGGCGGTCGTCCGTCGTCCTAAAGTAGTCCCCGCGAAGCTTTCGGGAAGAGGGGTAGTCTTGTGTGTAAGCATAGCATTTCTGGTCGAACCCGCCCAACCCAACTAAGAAGAACCGAACCTGACAGACACATCTTTTTCCTTTTGGGAGGGTACTCCGNGAACAAGCTCCATTTCAATATTTAGTTTCACAACGTCAACCTCAACTTTAAATCAAAACTCAACCAATATCTAATTCCAGGAAAATATGATAAGAATTTTCCAACATGAAGAATAATCAGTTTAAGCATGAACAATACGAATAAAGAATACAACAATCACAATCACAAGAATAAGACTCACTCGCATGCTATGACTCGACGACAACGCATAGATACTCGTCACCTCACCTATACGTTGTACTCAACAACCAAACACATAGCAAATAGGCAACCATACCTAATCCTTGAAGCTAAGGTTAGCCTCAACACATACCTCGCTTCCACGGCCAAACTCAAAGCTCAATCATCGTTTTCCCTTCGCACTAGCCTACGGGCCAATAGAATCTAGCAATTACTAACCAAACAATTCAATTTAAGCCTTAGGAACTATCTATGATTGCAAGAAAATTCCATTTAGGCCATTTTGAAAAAAGTCAACAAAGTCAACACCCGAGCCCGCTTGGTCCAAACCCAAAACTCGGACCAAAACCCGATCACTCATTCACCCCCGAGCCTGGATATACAATTGATTTTTGAATCCGACCTCAAATTGAGGTCTAAATCCTCAAATTTTGAAATCCCTAGTTTCTACCCAAAATTCTCAATTCCACTATGAAAATCCTAAATTCTAGGTTGAAATCTTGTAAAATAAAGTGAAAGATTGAAAGAAATGAGTAAGAATCATTTACCTATGATTTGGGGAAGAAATAGCCTTTAGAAAATCGCCTCCTGAGGTTTAGGTTTTGAAAATTTGGGAAATAAATCAAAAATCTCGTCTAAGTCCCTCGTTGCACAGCTACAGATATCGTATTTGCTACCTGAGCTTTGCAAATGCGAAGGTACCATCAAATATGCGAGGACCCTCACACATCTGTTGCCTTCGCAATTGCGAAGAAAGGTTCATAATTGCGAACTCAATTCTCCACAAAAGCGACCAAAAGATCGCATTTGCGATCACCTGCCTTCCCGCCTTACTTCGCAAATGCGAAGGTTACCTCGCAATTGCGAGGTCTGCTTGGCCCAGCTACTCTTCGAATTTGCGATGAGGAGCTCGCAAATGCAGAATCAGGGTTCGCAATTGCGATGCCTGATCTTGCAAATGCGAGATCAGAGGCCTGCAACAAGTTCAGCTATACCAGCAAAATTTTCTAAGTTCCAAAACACTCCGTAACCTATCCGAAACTCACCTGAGCCCTCGGGGCTCCAAGCCAAACATGCACACAGTCTTAAAATATCGTATGAACTTGCTCGTGCGATCAAATCGCCAAAATAAAGTCTAGAACTACGAATTTAGCACCAAATTGCATGAATTTTTCAAGAAAGTTTCAAAACTTCTATTTTCTCAACCGAATGTCCGAATCACGTCAAACCAACTCCATTTTTCACCAAATTTTACAGACATGATTTGAATATTATATTAAACCTGTACCGGGTTCCAAAACCAAAATACGAGCCCTATACCAACGAGATCAAGCATTAATCAAATTCCTTAATCCATTTGATTTTCAGTTTAACAATTTTTAACAAAAATTCATTACTCGGGCTAGGGACCTCCGAATTTGAGTCCGGGCATATGTCCAGGTCTCATATGTTACTACGGACCCACGGAACCATCGAAACACGGGTCCGGGTCCATTTACCCAAAACGTTGACCGAAGTCAACTAAAATGAACTTTTTAGGCCAAAAATTATTATTTTTCTCAAATTTTCACATAAAGGCTTTCCGGAAACGCGTTCGGATTGCGCACGTAAATCGAAGAGGAAAAAAATAAGGTTTTGAAGGCCTTTGAACACGAAATCGAGTTCTAAAACATAAGATGACCCTTTGGGTTATCACATAAAGCATCTTAACTTTAAAGATTGCTTCCCTAAGGACTCCTCCACTAAGCAATAAGAGTTCTTTTTCTAAGAAATAATTATTCACATAGATCCACCATTATCGAATTAATAAATATATTATATATTTATTTCACATAATTTTTATTTCTTAATTTTAATTAATTATATATATATATATATATACACACCGTAAATCAGTTAACCATAGTGTATTAGTGTAGTTGGATATAAATATAGAATGTTCGAATAAAAAAAATTAAAAGTCCCGCTTTAAGCCTCTAAAATTGGGTAAAATACTTAGTTACATCTGGTATTCACGTTAAATCATATTAATTTATTATGGTTAAGTAATACCTAAAGTTAGAATGTGTACTAATTAATTATAATTTGGTAATAACTATATTTATGAAGACATATCTCGTGTAATTATTGGATTGATATAAATACTGTTACCACTAAATATTTTCCCCATAATTGATGGTAACATACTACAATATTTTAAGAAATGATATTGGGAAGAACATGTTTGACATGCTGTCACTTATGACTTGGATTCAATGATATGTTATCATGTGGGACAAACTTTTCTTTATAATTGAGTAGCTGTGTTTATGGTCTAATTAATGGTTTTGCCTAAATTTCCAATTATATTGTTTTTTTTATTCCTTTTCTTTATTTGGAAATTTGAGTTGGTAGCATTGCTATCTCATATGTACTAATTATCATAACAACAACAACTAGTAATAAAAAATAATAGAAGTTAGTTTCGCTAACCGGCAGGCAATATAATCAGCCGATAGGTGCAGGCAAGCGTAGCGAA